TCCCTAACCTCCTCACTGTCCGAATCTGTTGCCAGCTCTGCCGGCCACTGGCTACAACAATGAGGGCCCATGTTTAGATAGGCCTTCCGTGCTCCACAATTTCATGTTGGAGGCATCTTCTACTAATCCCCCCCACCCCGAAAGGTTGGAGGTAGATTGGATTAGTGAACCAATGAAGCCAAAGAGCAGTAGGCTGCAAAGATGCTTACCGATTAATGAGGAAAATGAGATTCGTTAAGGAACAATTTCCTTCTTAAGATGAGTTTGCTGCCCCAATGAACAGACATCATCCATCTTGGCTGTGGCAGCTGCCATAATTTTCAGCATTAGGGACAGACGGGTCCATTGGTTTTGATTCAAAAAGGGCAGGAGAGCAACACGGGGACCGGAAACCTGGGAAATCCTTGCAAATCAAAAGGCCAGTACAAGGGCGTTGAAGACGGATATCTTTCTATCCTTCTGGCATAATTATTATTATTCTTTTTAGTGATCGTCTAAAATAACCGTTTAGAAAAAGATGCTCTTCCTCTCCAATATGGTGTGTACAACAGTTTGTAAAACTGAGATAAATTTACTGGCAAGCAGCAAAAATAGAAGAGAAAGCAGTCTGTGAATCCCAGATGAGGAGTAAGGGAGTGGAGCCCTCGTGGCTCAGTGGTTGAATGCAGTATTGCAGGCTAATTCTGCTCACTGCCAGCAGTTTGAGCCTGACCAACTCAAGACTGACTTAGCTTTCCATCTGAGGTGGGTAAAATGAGGACCCCGATTGTTGAGGGCAATAGGCCGGCTCTTTGTGATCATGATATAATCCAAAGAATGGACATTCATCCAAAGACCTTTGAAGCTAATTCTGGCGGGGAAAAACAATAGTTGCACATCAGTGAAGCATGGTTCATGGTTGTGTTCCGACCCAGGCTTTCTTAGAAAGCAAGAAGCAAAATTTTGGTCTCAGCAAAACCTCTTTTATTTACATGACTGTGAATTCCTTTCATTCACAGTCAGCAAGGCTTTAGCAAACAGTCTTTCGGAGGAATGTTTATCCACAGGCACCTTATCTCGTTTGGAGAGCTGCCAGATAACTAGTTTCCAAACACAGGGCAAGGCAAAACTTGGCACAGAGTCTTTT